AAGGGTCAAGGCATTAGGAAGGTTGAGACCCTCTGCCCAAAACAATCATATGGATGCAGACTAGGGGGGCCAGAGTAGAGACCCAAAGCCCATCTGTAGACAATTGTACACCCCCTTACAGAGGGGTCACAAGGAAGGGACGAGCCCGCCAGGGTGCAGTATAGCACCGATGAAACATACAACTTTCCTCACGTTCTTTAATGCTACCCATCATGACCCATGTTCTACCTTACAAATCAGGCTAGACCAGAGCATGTACACGGGTACAGATAATAGCTCTCAACACATGGAATCCAGGACAAATAAGATAGACCCCTCAGGAACAATAATGGGAGTAGCCATACCATGAGTATAGGGGGAGAAAGAGGGAACCGATAGCAATGATTGGCGTGTAACCCCTTTCCCCCCCAGGGTGACAAACAACAGAAACATGGGTGAAGGGGGACAGCAGAGGGTGTAAGATATGAAAATCATAATTTATCATTGATCAAGATGTCACGAGGGTGGGAGGGCGGGGGAGGGAGGGGAAAAAAAGAGGAGCTGATACCAAGGGCTCAAGCAGAAAATGTTTTGAAGAGAATGATGGCAACCTATGTACAAATGTGCTTGATTGTATGGATTGTATAAATGTAAGAGCCCCCATATAAAATGATTTATTTTTTTTTAAAAAGTAGCCCTGGTGACACAACGGTGAAAGTGTTCGTTCTTTTAATCCTGTTCCTGTAATCTCGTTTCCATAATCTACCACGGCCAAGGAATGGGTTGTGACTCAAGCCACCCTCTAGGGCAGGATCGGAACTGCTCCTGTGGGTTTCCGAGGCTGTAAAACTTCAAAGGAGTGCAAACCTCACCTTTCCCCCCAGCGGAGCAGATGCAGGGTTTGAACCGCTGACCTCGAGGCTGGCAGCCCAATGCTTACCAGGCCATCTTTCAGTGCTTCCTAGTATTCTGTGTGCAAAGCGATCTGCTACCAACTCAGAGGTTGGTGGTTTGAACCATGGCTGCTCTGTGGCAGAAAGGCATGCTGTCTGTTTCCACATCAGTGACCACCTCAGAAACCTGACGGAGCAGTGTGGACCCTGTCGACAGGGCCACCATGCGTGCGTCCCAATCAACTCAGCCACAAAGAGGTTAGGTCTTAAGTGGGGACTCAGCACATGTGCGCTTTTACAAAGTCTTCCTGGTTGTGGCAGGAAGTGGAGCTGATTTTGGGGGGCCCAGAGAGGAAGCAGCAGGGAGAAGGTATTACTCTCAGCTGGAGAGCGATGTGGGGTCCTGGGCGAGAGTGGTAGCAGGTCCAGGCCAGAGTAATGGGCGGGTCTGAGGTGAATATCGAAGGAGAGTATGTGGGTATACATCTCAAACCTAGAGGACAGGGTAAAACTGGATTACACCGTAACTCTTAAAAAAAATTAGTGACATGTAATTCACATATCATCCAATTCATTAGTTCAATCACACCAAGAAGCGTTGTACAAGCATCACCACAGTTTTAGAACATTTCTTCATCCTTGTACTCATCATTACCAGCTCCCCATCCCTTGGCATACCCCCTAGGAACCATTTACCAGTTACTATCTCTATAGATTTACTTCCAAGACTGTAACTCTTTAGGGGAGTAGAACATCGCATCTTTCTCCTGGGGAGTGGCTGATGGATCCAAGTGGTTGGAACCATTATGCCAGCTGCTAACTTCAAGGTCCGAAGTTCAAAACCGC